TTGGGAATTTGGGAATCGTTCTTTCCAAACTGCTTCCTGCTGGTAGAGGGCACTGTCATGGGGATCCTAAGAAGACACAGAAATCCTGGCTGTAGTGGTCTGCAAGGCTGCATTGTCCCATGGGCATTGCTTCAGGGGGTCTTGCTTGATCAAACCATGTTAGTCTGGAAGGAATCCACAGCTTTTCATTTTCTGTGGAAACAAAAATAGAAATCCTTTTTCCCCAGTAACCTGTTTTTGGACTTAAATTTTGAAGTCAAAGCATTTTTAAAATATATAAATTGAATTAATCCAGCAGCATTTCCTTTAACAGTTGTTTCCTCAGCAGTCAAATGATACAAACACAATATAATACTGTACAGTATCAAGATTTTCTTGGTACTTTTCATCTTTATGTGGCTTTTTTGTTTGTTTGTTTGTTTTGTTTTGTTTCTCTGTGTAACTTTGGCTGCCCTGGAATTCACTCTGTATACCAGGTTAACTTTGAAATAATAGATATCTGCTTGCCTCTGTCTTCTTAAAGGCATGTACCACCACACCCAGCTCATCTCTGTCTTTTAAAAACCATTTTATTCTTTTTCTCTCCCAAGCCTACGTATATTTTAAAACACACTGTAAACCTTTAGCGGTTTTTCTTAATCTGAATCTATCTTTACTGTAGATCTTTATCTTTTTCTGTCCACGAGTCTTTATCTGGTAAGCAATGACATTGCTAAAATGAAAGTCATAACTGTATTAGACGCGGTCTATCCAAGATGGCGGCGGCTACTTTTACCGCCAGAACTGAGAACTGTGCTCACTGCCTTGGTCTTCGCTTCCATCCAGCATCATGCTGCCAGCTTGGAGATGCAGTCACTGTCATTGACAGCTCTTGTACACACCAATGAATTGTTAGCAGAGCTCTTTAAAAGCCTTGCAGTTTTTTGCCGCTTATGCTGAGTCAGGAAACCTCCCTTAAAGGAGCCGCACAAATCTCTGCTTGAGTCTAGCATAACAGAGTCCAACCGAGAAAAATGCTGCTACCAAGAAGTCTTGCTTGTTTCTGTTCTTTTGTTTCTAAAATCCTTTTTAAGCTTTTCTTTTACGTGGTGCCATATTGTTACAAGTAGGTTTTTCCCCTGCCAGCCTGGGCCCACTATTGCTAGCTCCAAATAACATACACAGACTCTGTATTTGATATTATGCTGTTGGCCAGTTACTAGTTTCTTGTTGGCTAGCTATGTCTTAAATATTAACCCATTTCTATTAATCTAAGCATTTCTTTACTTTTGTAACAAAAAAGCATACCCTGGCAGTTAAAGGTGCATGTGATTGATGCAAACAGACCTGGATTTGGACCCTCGCTCTTTGGCTCTGTAGTTGTGTGGACTAAGGAAATCTGTGAGAGCTCCTTACCTGTAAAATGCACAACAGAGCAGTACTACTGCTGTGAATTGAAATGATAAGAGCTATGAAATGTTTAGCAAGATCTCTGGCATGTAGTAATTGCTCACACCAATATTGCAGGGATAAATAAGAATCTGGGAAACAATAGGCTGATGAATGTTTATTTGGGGAGAAATCATACCCGGAACAGATGGCCGCCTCAGGTTCCCACCCCAAGGATGCCTCCAGATCCTCTCTGTCTCTGACCAGGAATCAAGAGAGTGAGCTGGGGTCCCAGACCCCAGACCTAGTCCCCCCAGGTCATGCCCACACCTGCCTCCATGCCCCCAATGGGTGTGGTCAGTGCAACAAGTGTGGGTGGGGTGGATATCTCACTACACACCAATGCTTATTATCATACCAAAACCTGGGAAAGATAGAAGCATGGTAAGGTAAAGTGGTGTTAAGGCCATTCTCCTGTGCTGTGATGAAACGCCCCAACAAAAAGCAACCAAGAGACAAAGGGTTTATTTTGTCTACCGTGGCAGGGGAGTCAAGGCAGTAGGAGCTTGAAGTGGCTGGTCACATCACATCCACAGTCAGGAAGCAGACAAGGATGGCTTCTAGTTCCAGAGTGTTCTATCTGCACTATATACAGTCGAGCATCCCATCCCCATCTAGGGAATGGTCCCACCCTCAGCTATGATGGGTCTTCTCACATCAGTTCACATAGCCAAGATAATCCTCCACAGCCATTGTTGGAGGCTCAACCTACATCATAGCCAAGAACTCACAAGTTAAGACAACAACCACAAAGCAGGGAAAAAGCAAACTGGAAATGGCAAGGGCTTTTGAAACCTCAAAGCCCACGCCCAGGGACAAACCTTAGACAACAAGGCCACACCTTCTAATCCTTCTTAATCAGTTCCACCAACTGGGGACCAAGCATTCAAACATATGAACCTATGGGGGCCATTCTCATTCAAACCCCCACTGAGAAGCTGAGCCTGGAAACAGGGTTGGACCCCACCCCCATTTCAAAGCAACCCCAGCTTTATCTAGGTATGAACTGGCCTCTCTTGCCTCTGACAGGGAGAAAGAATGGCAAGTATTTAAGAGTATTAAAAACATTGTGATCTTGAGAACAGCTAAGGTAAGCAAGCCATTGTTTATTCCTTAATATGAAAGTGCCATTGGTGGAAATGGAAAGCCGGCACCTCAGCCATAGGAGGCTCATCTGTGGAAAGAAAACTCCCAAGAACTCTGGCTGACTGTCTCAGTTTCTCCGGTAGGATTTATTTGATGATATTCACTGTCTGTTGCTTGTTCTTTTACTTGGCAGCTTCATCCAAGAGGATACTTTGCTGCACCATGACTCTCCATCTGCTTGAACCCCAGCTGGCTCCCTCAAGAGGACACCTCTAGTCGATTTCTGCGGGATGATTATAGATGCCCAAATTGATAGTGTTTTGCTGTCTAATGAGTCTGTCTACTACTTGTTTCAAGGTACTTGATTACACTGCATAAAGATACATCACTGTGATTGGTGTAATAAAAAGCTAAATGGCCAATAGCTATGCAGGAGGTATAGGTGGGACTTCCAGGCAGAGAGAGCTCTGGGAAGAAGGAAGGGGAGTTGCCAGCCAGATACAGAGGGAGCAAGACGTACAGGAAGAGTGGTAAAAACCATGAGCCACATGGCAATGCATAGATGAATAGAAATGGGTTAATTTATCAGAGCTAGTGGGACAAGCCTAAGCTATAGGCAAAACTTTCATAATTAATAAGAAGTCTCTGTGTAATTTTTTTGTGAGCTGGTGACCCATATAAAAAGCCTGCTACAACTACTTGCTATTTATTCTTTTACTTTTTAATTGCTATGTATTTAATAAACTCATTCATTAAAAAAAAGCATGGCTATCACAGGTCATTCATGCTTTAGGCCATACAGAACACTTGGCAAGTTCTTTGAACTTCCCCTGCCTCTGTTTCCTCTAAGTTTGAGGTAATAATGGAAACTCTCTGGTTATTAGTGTTAAAATTATTAAAATAACACACTCAGAGCCAATGAAAGATCCCAAACCTTAAAATTCTTTGAAATTACCATATGAAATTGTTTATTTTAAAGTCTTAAACTTTCAGGAACCATTCAGGTTTAGGGAAAGCTATTTGGAAAATCATATAGAAAATTTGGGCTTCTTGATTACTTTTCTAATACCACCTGAGTGTATTTATACAGAGTCTGGAGAAGAGGCAAAGAGTTCAGACCAAAGACGTAGCTGGGTTGTCATCACCAGCGTTTGATGACAATCATGGGAAAGTTGACAGGCAACCGGCTCCATAACCCAGGCTATAGGACCCTTTCTAAGGCAGACTTCAGTCCCAAAGTGGATTATGAGGAAAACAGTAGTTGGTTCTTAGAAGGCTTAGAAGGTTCTCTGAGTGCTGGGCTGTGTGACTTGGGTGAGAAAACCCAGCTGGAGAGAATTCAGAGTTTTCATTGGTGGACAGCCTGCGAAGCCATCCTCGAGAATCACTGGTCCTACTGGACCTGCAGCCTCCCTTCTCTGTTCTCTCTGGTTTAGAGGCCCATCTGGCACTCTGACACAAACCTCCTCTCTCTGAGGAAATCCTAACTGATGAGCACAAGTCCTGGTAGAGCATGGCTAGGGGGTGGGGAAGGACAAGAGCCAATAGAATCCAGTGTTCAGGCTCTGCTGGTGGTACATGCCTGTAATCTCTTCCATAGGAGGATTGGGACTTCAGGGAAGCAGAGGCTACATACATTATCTATTAAACCCAGTTTTTAAAATCATAAAATTTATTTGTACCTTCAGTTTGGTTTTCGCTGATACCTAAAGTGTTAGGCCACTGTGGAGCTTTTTACTTAACCAGGTACAGCAATTATCGCCACCAACCAGAACAACATCAGGCAGAGGTTAAGGAATTAATTTTCTTTTTCTTTTTCTTTTTTTTTTTATTTTTACAAATCCCACAGCTATTATGGAAGAAGGTAAGCCAAACATCAAGTGTTGTATTGTCTAAACTTTTCAGACCCCTTCACGAGCTCCCTGTCACCTCCAGCTGCCAGCTGTGAAAACAGTTCTGACCTGGCTCACTTCACCTAATGTCTGCATTCTGTTTGCCTTGCAATTACCCACTCAGCACTCTCTTATGACCTACAGGTGGAAGGGAAGGGGGAAGTCATCCCAGGACTCGGCCCAGTGGATTGGGTGTCAGCTTCCAGCACTGGGATTTGAGAGTTTAGTCTTCGGGCTAGCTATAATTAGCCAAGTGGGGCCGCTGTTGGGATCTGTACACAGCAGTCCTAAGCAGAATGGGAACTTAAGTGAGAGCAAGCAGAAGCCTGCCGTCTCCTGCCTGGGACTAACGGAGAGCAAGTGGCAAGGAGGGCTTGACCTTGGCCTAGATGGCTACAGGTGTTTGCCGTTTTGTTGCACTTGGAGAACCCTATCATTAGCTCCCTTCTAGCCTACTATTCCGTAGTAGTGTGTCCCCTTAGGGTAGAGTGAGGCTGACAGCTCTGTGAATGGAAGACAGCTCTGCTTTTCTGGTTCTGTCATGCCTTGTCACCTACAGCCATCTCACAAGCCTGAGCCTTAAGCTTTTGGAAGATGGCAAGTCTTTCCTCGGACTTGGAGCATGTCTCCTCCCTCCCTGCCTGGAAGGATGGCCTTGAACTCCCTTTACCTGCCCAAAGAACCTCCTCCTGGTTTCCCTCTCCCGACAAGGATCCCAGCTTTCTTTCCTTTTCTCTGGCAGAACCTGACTCCAGCCCCTTGGTTTCAGGAAATCTTCCCTTTCCAGATTCATCCCTGGAGAAGGGGAAGGAACAGGATGACAGCGACGACTCAGCAGAACCTGAGGTGCTGTGCAGTGTGGAGCACCCCAGCCAGTTCTTTGCTGAAGCACAGAGACTGCGGGAGCAGAAGCTGCTGCTGGATGAAGAGGTGTCAGTAGGGGGGCAGGTATACGGGGTGCATAGGGTGATCTTGGCTGCAATCAGCAGCCTCTTCCAAGGCAGGCTGAGGGGCGGTGGAGGTCAGCAGCCTCGCTTCAGCCTCGACGTGACCCGGAGGGGCTGGGAGGCTGCACTGACCTTTGCGTATGAGGGGGTGCTGGGCCCCGCCTCGCAGGGCGAAGTGCTGGCTGCTGCAGAGGCGCTGGGAGCGCCCCGGGTGAAGAATGCGGTCCAGCTGAGGCCAGAAGGGCTTGGCAAAGCCAGGGAAGATGAAGAGAAGCTCAGCCAGGCAGAGGAGCTGAGGGAGAATCTGCACAGCATTGAGCGTCTGTATCGAGAGGGCATCGGGTGCGACCTGGAGCTGGAAGCAGAGGGCTACCACCTGCGGGGTGAGGGCCTGGGGGCAACTTCTGAAAATGCATGTCACAGGGTTTTGTTTATTTTGCAGTGCTAGGGATGGAACCTAAGTCCTCACTTTCCCTCTACCACTGGGCCACACCCCCAGTCCTGTGTCAGAGTTTGGATCATTTCTCTGGCAAGACCGTCCTTTTTTGGTGCCTTTCCAGCGCCACCAAGAGATGCACATGCGCAGTTGAATTGTTTTTCTAGACTCCCAGACAGATTTGAACAGATAGTTCAGGCGCTCCCCCTGCCACCCCCCCCCCAGTAGCTAGATTTCCAGCCAACTGGCTGGAGCTTATAGTACAATGCATGGCAGTAAAACAAGCAGAAAGTAGAAAGTAACTGACTCAAATATATTAGCCGGAGGCCCTTGACATCTAAGCACACAGCCAACAGAAGAGGCAGTCATAGAACTCTCCCAATGAGTCCTTTCTCCTAGGTGTGCTTGACTCTGGCAGCAGACTCTAGTCTGCTTCGTCTAGACCAGTGGTCCTCAACCTTAATGCGGCCACCCTTTATCCAGTTCCTCGTGTTATGGTGATCCCCAATCACACCATTATTTTCATTGCTACTTCATAACTGTAATTTTTCTACTGTTGCTGGGTGGTGGTGGCGCATGCTTTTGATCCCAGCACTCCAGAGGCAGAGGCAAGTGGATCACTGAGTTTGAGGCCAGCTTGGTCTACAGAGAGAGTTCCAGCACAGCAGGGATACACAGAGGAATGTTGTCTCAAAGAAATCAAAAATGAACAAGAATTACTAGAGTTACAAATCATAATGTAAACACCTGTGTTTTTGGATGGTCTTAGTCACAACCCCTTTGAAAGGGTGGCTTGACCACCTGGGGGTCTCGACCCAGAGGTTGAGAACCACAGCTCTATGGTGTGTAGTGTCTCCTATTTGGTTATACCAAGATGTTTCTGACCTGGAACATGTAGTCTGTATTTGACACTACAAAGTTTAAAGCTACAATAGATTGCTGGGTGTTGGTGGTTCACACCTTTAATCCCAGCACTTGGGAGGCAGAGGCAGGTGGATCTCTGTGAGTTTGAGGCCAGCCTGGTCTACAGAGCTAGTTCTAGGACAGGATCCAAAGCCACACAGAGAAACCCTGTCTTGAAAAACCAGCCAACCAAACAAGCAAACAAACACACACACAAAAAGTGACAATATATTTGTTGAGAGATTACCTAGTTCAGAGCTAATACTTCAGCAATGAAGAAATCAAGCCAGGTTTGGTGGCTCATGCCTGTGATTCCAGCACTAATGAGATTGAATAAGAGGACTGCCTAGAATTTGGGGCCAGTCTGGGCTACACAGTGAGCTCTAGGCAGGTGTGGACCTATCTCACAAATCAAAATGAAAATGAAAAGAAAAAAGCAAATCTAGTATGGCCTTGTGACAGATACCTGTAACATTTAGGATGCTACAAAAGGAGGATTGACATGATGACTTTAAGGCCAGCCTAGGCTGACTCCAAACCATACCCAGTCATACCATTAAGTTCTTAGTGGAAGTGCTCCCGAAGGAAAGCTATCCTTAAAAGCTTTCTGCCTCATGGCATTAGCTAAAGGGTGATGCTTTAAAATGTCATAATTATAACATTCTCATGAAGGTTTGGGTTTCCCACATATTCATAACACTATGTGGGAACTCATCACTTTAAATCTTGGGGCACGGGAATGAGTAAGAGGAGATTCCAAGTGCCTGTGAGCTTTTCACAATTGAGTCTCAGATACAGATATTGGTTGTGATGCGGAAGCTGAGCTGGTCTGGCTCATTTCTCAGAATGCAGATTTTCTCAGACAATATAGACTAGGAAGCTGTAACTGATGTTTATTATATTTTGGACACACTAAGCCACTACCTACTGCTTAAAGAGACAATAGAAACATTCTCATCAGTTGCCCTTTGAAAGGTACACATTCCACCACTGGTCAAAACAATAAGGGATTCATAAGATTCTCAGGGACCAAGAGGCCTGACTAAGACTTCCTGAGGCAGTTTCTCTTGTGAAATACTTCAAATGCAAAGCAAAAATTAACATTCAAGCATTCATCACACTGCTACTATGCTACTATGTCTATTTTGTCTGGTTATTTCTACTTGGTATTTTACTGATGGCTATGCATTTTAAAACAAAGGAGGGGCTAGAGAGATGACTTGCAGTTAAAAGCTCTTCCTAGTCTTCCAGAGGTCCCAAGTTCAGTTCCTAGCATTCTCATTGGGCAGACCACAACTGTCCAGCCTCCAAGAGAACCCATACTCCCATGCATGAGCCTACACATAGACATAATTGAAATAATAAAAACAAATCTTTAAAAGGGATATTTGAGCTTTTACTTTCTGTTTTGTTTTTTATTTTGATAAAGAATCTCACCAAGTTGCCCAGGTTGGTCTTGAATGAATCCTTCAGTCTAGGCAGGCTTTGAACTCATGGTCCTCTTGCCTCCATGTAATGGGTTACAAAGCCTTCAGCACAAAGCCCAATTCTATTTAAAAACAAACAAACATAAACACCCTTCTATACTAAAAAAATATTGCAGTTAATTGTTCATGTGTGTGAAAGCATGTGTGGATGTAAGCAGTGATACATTTCAGTACTATAGTGTTTGTAGAGTCAGAAGGCAGTTACAGGAAGTAGCCTTCTCCTTCCACGGGGGTCCAAAGGTCAGCACTCAGGTCACTGGTCTTGATGACAAGTCCCTTTATGAACTGAGCCATCTTACTGTCCCTTATTGTTTATTTCTTTTCTTAAAGGCTTATTTGTTTTATGTGTATGTGAATTCCTGCATGTATGTCATGTACCATATGTGTGCCTGGTGCCTACAGAGGCCAGAAGAAGATATCAGGTTTGCACAGTAAATTCTAGGCCAGCCAAGACTATATAATGAGACCCTGTCTCCAGAAAGAAAGAGAAAGAGAGAAATATATTAAAGCAAAGATTCCCCAAGTTGCTATTTAGACCTTGGAATCATAATCCAGAGAGGGGCAGGGAGGGGCCTGAAAGCTCCATTTTGCTTGTTTATTTATCCGTTGCAGCACTGGGGAAGGAGGAATCCAGGCTTTGCATATGCTAGACAGGTGATTCACTGCTGGACTAAGTCCCCAGAATGAAAGCTGCAAGCAATCCCATGCTGTTCCAGTATACACCATGGCTTGGGCTATGGTCTTGGGTGATTGGATCAAAGTTAGCTGTCTTACAACAAACTGGGTTTCCTTTGCTTCCTCTCCACTACAGTGCACCGAGTAGCCCTGGCCTGTGGCAGTGAGTTCTTTGGGGCCATGCTTCTGAGTGGGATGAGGGAGTCCCAAGGCACAAAGGTGTGTCTGCGTACCATCTCTTCCCAAGACCTGAGACTCCTCGTTTCGTTTGCCTACTCTGGAGTTGTACGAGAAAGATGGCCAGGATTGCTAAGAGTCGCCCAGGCTGCGCTGCAGTACCAGAGCTCCTCCTGCCTGGATTTGTGTCAGAGAGGCTTGGCTCAAAGCCTCTGCCCTGCCCTTTGCCTGGCTCTGTTTCCTATGGTTGAAGCCCCTGGTTTGGAGAAAGTCTGGGGGAAAGCCCATCGTTACCTCCTCACTCATCTGCCTGCTGTGGCTTTGTGCCCTACTTTCCCGTTGTTACCGGCTATCTGCTTGGCTGAGCTCTTGGATAGTGATGCACTCCATGTACAAGAAGAGTTTGAGGCTTTCATGGCTGCATGGCGTTGGCTGGCTGCCAACCCCGAGACCCAGGAGTCAGAGGCTAAGGCCCTGCTACGATGTGTCCGCTTTGGCCGCATGTCTACCAGAGAGCTGAGGAAGGTGCGGGCAGCTGGGCTCCCTCCACCTCTGTCACCAGATTTGCTGCACCAGCTGATGGTGGAAGCTGAAGTTCCAGGTCAAGAGAGGTGGAGGGAGCCTGACCAAGCACTGGTGGTGATTGGTGGGGATGGGCTTAGACCTAACATGGACCGAAGGCAGCCATCTTGCAAAGTGTGGTGGGCCCGGGCTTTCCACTGTGGCATGGGTCTGGTACGAACTGTGGAATGGTGCCGGCTGCCTGACCTGCCTACCCCAGGGCGCTTTCGGCATGGAGCTGTGAGCCTAACAGGAAGTGAACTCTATGTGTGTGGGGGACAGGATTTCTACAGCCACGCCAACACTCTGGCTTCAACTCTCAGGTATCATCAGTGTGTAGCAGGAACCCATGGGGCAAGCAAGAGGAAATGCTAATCCAGCCACCCATAGGCTCCCAGACTCACCCTTTTTGTGTCTTGTCCAACTATGTCCAGGTGGAGCTCTAGTCAAGAAGACTGGGAGGAAATGGCACCTTTGTGCCAGGCTCGGAGCTTCTTCCCTCTGGTGGTGTTTGATGGAGAACTTTATGCCCTGGGAGGACGGGACAATGGTGTTGCCCTTAATTCCGTCGAGGCCTATAACCCTGAACTCAATGTCTGGAGGTAAGCAGGCAAAGGGGCATCTGGGAGAAACTAGATTTAGAACAGGAATGTGAAGCTGGGCATGATGGCACACACCTGGAATCCTAGCACTCAGACGCTAAGTTTGGAGCCTAGGCTACATAGCAAGATCTACCTCAAAATAAAATGAGATAGAGTTGAACACTCTGGTTATCGATCTCTTCATGTTCTGTTCTCCCTTAGGCCAGCACCTGCTCTTCCTGTACCATGCTTTGCCCATGCGGCTGCAATCCTCGAGGGCCGGTTGTATGTAAGCGGTGGCTATAGTGGGACCAGCCAGTACTTGGACTCATTGATGCTCTATGATCCCAAACTTGAGAAGCCTGAGACACTTTTGAGTCCAATGAAAGTAGCTCGGGCTAGTCATGTGATGGCTGCTCTGGGTGGGAAGTTGTATGTGGCTGGTGGGATAGGTGACACTGGGGACCTACTGAGCTTTGAAGTCTATGAACCAAAGACCAATAGCTGGACACACCTGGCACCCTTGCCCTCCCCCCACGTGGGGGCTGCAGGTGCTGTGCTACAGGGGGAGTTACTGGTACTGGGGGGCTATAGCCACCGTACTTATGCCATCTCCCACCTTGTTCATGCCTACTGCCCCGGTCTGGACCGCTGGCTCTGCCTGGGAACTCTGCCGAGGCCTCGGGCTGAGATGCCTGCCTGCATCTTGACATTGCCCAGTGTGTAGCACATGGCTTTGGTCCCTACCCAGCACCAAAACAAACCTGCTGGGTGACTGAGTATGACCAGTGTATGAGGGAAGAAGGGATGAGTACCATGACAAAAGGACAAAAATTATGAGAGGATAAAAACAATTGTACTTGCTTGCTTACTTTTAAAAATTATCAAAATATATAATGAGAAAGGCTCTTATTATTGTAGCTCTGGCTGGCCTTGAACTTGATGTGTGGCCTAGGCTGGCCTCAAACTCAAAGTCCTGCCTCAGTCTCCTGAGTGCTAGGATTGCTTGTACTACCCCACCTTGATTGAGAGGTCTGATGATGATAATGATGAATGATGATTGACAGGGACTCATGTATCCCAGGCTGGCTTACATCAAGGATGACCTTGAGCTCTTACTTAATACTCCTGACTCCATCTTGAAAGAATTGAGTTCACAGGCATATACAACATACCTGGTTTGTGCTAGAGATCAAACTCAGGACTTCCTGCATGCTAAGTGGGTACCAAACCAACTTAGCTACATCCATAATCCTAAAAGAAGGCTTTATTCTTTTTTGCTTGCTTGTTTTTAAATTGTGTAATATTTATTTTATATGTATTGGTGTTTTGCTAACATGTATAATATGAACCACATGTTTATCTAGTGGCTGCAGAGGCCAGAAGAGGGCAGCAGATCCTCTGGAACTGGAGTTACAGATGGTTGTGAGCAGTCATTTGGGTGCTTGGAACTGAATCCTGATCCTCTAGAAGAGCAGCAAGTATTCTTAACCATGGGGCCATCTCTCTAGCCCTGTATTTTGTGTTTAGGGGCAGACTTATCATGTAGTGCAGGTGAGAACGCTTTATTCTTGTTAGTATTTTACTCCACCTCAGACCCTGAAGCTCATAAACTTCCTTTGTGTATTTGATCTCTACTAAGGACCAGGCAGTTCTGGAACTCATGGAAAATGGGCCTTGGGAGAAAAACTGGCAAATAAATACTCCAGGAGAGACAGGCACCTAGGAAGAATTCCCAAAGATTAATGGTTAGTTGGGAGGTAAAGCTGGAGCTCATTGATGGAGTGCTTACTCAGCATAGGTAAGGTTCTGGTTTAATAATTTCTGGCATCAAGAAAAATAAAACTACAAAAACCAAACTTCAGTAGTCAAAATATATGGATCAAGAAAGGACATTGGGACAATTGGGAAACTGATGAAGGAATGTGGAAGGAATTAAATAGTCCTCCCTTTCTTGGCACTTTCCCATTTTACTCTCCCATCTCAGGAGACCTAAGTCATCCTAACAATATTCTTTGTAGGGTAGACTTGTAGACCCATCCTTGGCTCTATAGGCTGCCTGTAGAGTCTTTTGGTACACTTGAGACAGAAATCCCCATTAGGTCTAGACATGGTGGTGCACACTGAGAATTGCATTTGAGAAGTGTAAGCAGAAGGACCAGGACTTGAGACCGTTTTAAGAGAACCAAACCAAACCCAACAGAACAAACAAAAACACCAAAAAGAAGAGCTCCCATTAAGATTTGGACCCCAGGTATGGAGATCTGAAGCCAGTGTATGATGGGAATATTCATCATACAGGCTGGGGAGAAAGACAGAGGCCAAGGAGAGAGTATCCATGGTGACAAATGGGCAGTATGAGGTTGAGAAGACGGGAAGAATCTACTCCCAGGACTAGAAAAAGGACAATTGTTTGAGGTCTTCTGGGATCAAGAAGGGGAAGACATGGCTGAGGAAAGTGAAGGCTTTTCAAAAAGACTTGGGAGAGCTGTTTCTTCTTTCAGTCCCTTTCCCCTCATATTGTTTTGAACCTATTTCCCCTCTATTTTTTTTTTTTTTTGGTGTAGGTTTTTATTTGTTTTAGATAAGGTTGCATGTAGCCTAGGCTAGCCTTGAACTCATTTTGTAGCTGCTATGAACTTGAACTTCCAGGCCTCTTGCTTCTAACATGGGAGTGTTGGGATAGCAAGTGCGGGCCACCATGTTAAACTATATGTCTCTGTTTAAGATAGATAAGGACTATAGTTGAAAAATGAAGAAGGTTAAGTAGAATGTATAAAAAAGAAGATTGAAGAAGGAAGGGAAGAGGGAAGTTGGGGGCATGAACACATTTTGCTTGTGATTTGTTCATAAACACTGCTGTAAATAAATGTTTCATACTGACAAAATCATTCTTATTTGAATGCCTCTGCTATAAACATCGTCCAAAGTACAAGTCCTGTAATTTGGCTTCTGCATCATTATTCTCTGAAACCTCCCTCCATTCATTGTTACCAATGGAACAATCCATGGCATCCTCATTTTCCCTCATCTTTCTCCAGGATCTGGTTGGCTGAAAACTGACTCTCATCCTAAAACTGTCTCTTCTCTTGGCTCCAAAGATAGCACAACCTCCTAGGTAAGCTTTTCCATCTTTCCCTAACCCAAAGGCAGCGATCCTCCTCGAGGGGTGTGGCTTTGTCCCAGGTGACAGCCATCAGTTTTGGGTTAGAGCATCAAAAATAGCTAACCTAGTCTGAAAAACTAAACTGACCCCACAGTTATTCTCTGATCTCCATACATGTGCGCAGCACACCCCACATAACACCTATCATGCACTCATGTGTACAATAGTACATAAGTGATTTCAAAAGTGAGCACTGTACAGAAAGATTATGTAATAGAATTGTGGAATGGAGAGATTTTGGAGAGAACATAATTCAAACATGTTTTCTTTTTAAGATTTAGTTTTTGAACATTTAAAGCATGTATATACTGTTTTCATCAAGTCCAGCCCCCATTCATCTCTAGCCCCTCCCATACTTCTCCACTTTACCCTCCCAATTTCCTGTGTTCTTTTTATAATCCAATGACTCCACTTAGTGCTGCCAGTATGGGCATCTCTGGGGCCACTGGGGCTAACATTGATCCCAGCGAGATGCAAGAAGGAAATCAGGTTCAGCAAGACTTAGTCAGGCTGGCTCAAACTTCCAGAGTCTGACCCCAAGCAGTTTACTGTAAGCATATTTAAGTAAGCACAGTATTGGGGGGAATAAACTTTCCTGGTGTAATACAATCCCCTGTGCATAAGGAGGCATAGTTACATTGAAACTCAACTCAAACTAATGTCATTTCTTCCAAGAAGACAGGTTCTAGAGATAGCTGTATTAGCTGAAGGGCCTAGGGAGGGGTCTGGCCTGGTCTCAATCATACAGATAACATAGAAGTCATCTAGGCAATTAACTCCCTCTGGTCTTGGATGGGGAAACTTGGGGGAGCCTCTGGCCATACAGATAATGCAGAGGTCACCTAGACTACTAGGTATTGCAGTAGTTGCTATGGCCTGGCAATTCAGATAATATAGATCACCACGCTATTAATCTACTCCTTTCCCAGCTGTATTGGTGGGAAATCAAGTTATGTATCATTTTCTTTAAAAAGACAACCTTGCAAACATTCCTGGTGTCCCTAGTGATCTGAGCATGTAAGGACATTTATGGTTCCAACACTGCCGGCATGGGCATGGGTTTTCTGGACAGGACAGTGCTGCTGCACATATAAACTCACATGGACTGTGACTGCACATACAACACTTGCACATGGTCAAGCCAGATAGGAATGCTGGCATAGATAAGGGAGGGTCTCACAAAGTAGTACTCCTAGCTGGGTAGCTATTGGCAACTGATGGTTTCTGGAGACAGGAGAATGAAATGTTTTTTTTTTTTTTAACTACATTACATTTATTTATTTATTTGTGTGTGTGTGTGTGTGTGTGTGTGTACATGTGTACATGTGCAATTACTTCAGCACTTGTGTGAAGATCAGAGGATAACCTGCGGAATCAATTCTTTCCTTCTACTATTTGGGTTCCAGAGATCACTCTCAGATTGTCAGGCTTGGTGACAAGTACCCTTATCTACTGAGCCATCTTGCTGGCCCACCTCTTTTTAAAAATTGAATTTTATTTATTATGAGCTATGTGTATGTTATGTATGAATGTGGGAACTCATGGACCATTGTGCATATTCTGTTTTGATTCTGTTACTGTGATATACATTGACCAAAAACAACTTGGGAAGGAAAGGGTTTATTTCATCTTACAAGCTGTAGCCCATTAGTGGAGGGCAGGATCTTGAGGCAGGAACCTGGAGGCAGAGACTGAAGCAGAGACCATGCAGGAGCGCTGCTTACTCACTTACTCTCCACAGCTTGCTCAGCTTGCTGTCTACTTGCCCAGGGGATACTCAGCCCATAGTGGCAGGGCCTTCCCACATCAGTCAAGAAAATGCCCACCACATGTGTCCATAGATCAATGTAAGAGAGACAAATCCTCAGCTGAGGTTCCATTGTCCCAGGTAACCTCACTTTTATCAAACTGACAACATCTAGCCAGCACAATGTATATGCAGGAGTCAGAGGAGAACTCTGGGGAATTAGTTCTATCTTCCATGGGGATGGTTCCAGAGAATGGACAGGTCATCAAGCTTTCACGGTAAGTGTTTTTACAGGCCTGCAATCCATCCTTTATAAGGGAAAAAAATTAAAAGCAGGGGTTACCCCATGGAACTTAGAAAGCGAAGAGGAGGGGTTTTTTGATTATGCCCCTAAGAGGACTGAAAGCCTGGCCAGCAAGACCATCACAGTCGCAGGTGAGGTTTGAAGACAGGACTGTCCTAATTACTCTCTTATGGGTATAGACTATGTTCTAAATCCTAGCTAACCTTTAAGTTCAAGGGGTTGTAGACAATGATTATGAATTTATATAGTTCCTGATAACTGTTTTTAAAAAGTATGTGTTTGTACATGCACATGTGGGTCCAGCTTTGAAAGATGTTCATGTATTGAAGGGCACACAAACCAGTCAAAGATGGCACCAAGGGGAAGTCAGGAGGGCAAGCCCTGAGATGTTTACAAAAAAGAGTGATTGGCTGCCAAGATTGAACCAGATGAGGTCACTGCATGAATGGCTCATGTTCACTAGGTAAAGCATAGAGCACCTAGGCAAATGATAGGTTGACCTTTAAAACCATTGGTTAGCTGTTTTCCTGCCCTGTGGTTTTTTTGCTTTAAAAGATGCTTGCTATGGGGCAATAAATTAGTTCCTGCTTGACTAGACTCCCTGCTGCATCTGATTGTCTCCTGGATCCTGGAAGGCACACTTATCCTTCTTTGGACCCAGCTCAACCTTCTTTGAGGTTGGGCTAAGACCCTACAATGTATGTTACCATAGCTGACTTAGAATATAGTGACCTGTGTCCCCTCTGAAACAGATAAAGCTTTGAAAGCCTACTGAGCTAGAATACAAACATGGATACAAGTTCCATTTCAGTTGCTGCTTTGGTATCCATTAATCAGTCATTCAGTCAGTTTCTATGCTAATGTCCTAATCTATAATATTGGCTTATACTATAATTGCCTATCCTATCCTATAAACACCACAGGGTTACCACGGTTCTGAATATGGAGGCATATTTGGGAAAAGTGGCCTCCGTAGGCCACAAATCAAGTTCCCAGTTATCTTGCTGTGAAGAGACTCCATGAACATGGAAGCTTTTATAAATGAAAATATTTAGTTGGGGTGGCTTGCTTATGGTTTCAGAGGTTCATCAATTATTATCATGTCAGGGAGCAATGTAGCATACAGGCAGGCAGACATGGTGCTGACTACATCTTGATCAAAAGGCAACAGGAAAGTGGACTATGACACTGGGCAGTATCTTGAGCATAGGAAACCTCAAAGTCTGTCCCCACAATGACACACTTCCTCCAACAAGGCCACACTCACTCCAACAAAGCCACACCTCCTAATAGTGCCACTCCCTTTGGGGACCATTTCCTTTCAAACTACCACAGGAGAAGATGATTGCCCTGGTATACTGTCCCCACTTCTACTTCCACCATTGCTCTACTTTCATGTATATGCTCAAGCCACATCCAGTGTCTCAGACTACTTCCTATTGTCTGTAATGTAGAACTCTTGGCTCTTCTCCAGCATCATGTCTTGTATGCATGCCACCACCATTGTTGGAGTACCTGCCATGATGATAATGGACTAAACCTCTGAAACTGTAAGCTGCCATCTCAATTATAAGAGTTGCTGTGGTCATGGTGTCTCTTCACAGCAATAGAAACCCTAACTAAGACATATGGGATGACATACTTCCTTTGTGAATAGGGCTCACCTCATGAACAAAATGATGCTGCCCAAACAATTTATTAATCAAAACATGTATTATAATTTTGGAAACACAGATGCAATCACCTGTCACAGAGGCACAACCTTGTACAGATCCTTCAATATATAACTCATCCTTGGTTTTATGTCCCGGTATCCATTCCAGGGCTACAAACACTCCTTCATGTAGGTCATCTCATATAGGTGATAGGAATGCAATCAGGCTGTGGCAGCTGTTGCATGGCTTTTGCTGTGAGTGAGAAGACATACAACTGAGGCCAAGCTATCTGCCTAGAAAGAATGTGCCCATGCAAGACAGGAATTATGATGAAGACACATTTATCCTATCTTTACATTAGCCGGGAAAAGTAGGAAAGGGATTTTGAGATGGATGTGTTGGTTTGCTGCTTCTTATGTCTAGTAGACTGTGGGGGAGAGGGTTATGCTAAAGAGCCTTTCTTAGGGTCCAAAATCTTGGGACTCATGAAAGAATTGTATAGTGAGTATATTATTAGTTCTCTGACAAAAGACCATGGCCAACAAAGAGAGAATCCATTTGATTTGTAGTTGGCTTGCAGTTCCAGAGAGGTAGGAGTCCATCTGAGTGAGGAGACATGGCAACATGGAGGTGTGGCTGTTGGAGAATAAGCTGAGACATATCCTCAACCGTAAGCATGAAGTAGAGAAAACTAGAAGCAGAATGAGGCTATGAAATCTCAAAACCTGGCCCTTGTGGCATACTCCATCATCCATACTTCTTCCATCAAGGCTACACCTCCTACATACACTTCCTTAAACAGTTCCAACTGGGGATGAAGTTTAGATATCTGTGAGTCTGGGGAGGGAGCTATTTCTTATTCAAGCCACCACAGTGAGGAAAAAAAAAGACCACTGTAGAAGTAATAGAGGATATCACCTAGGCCTGAATACAGAAGCTTTACTAATGGCCTCCTGCAAGTAACCATGATAATCAGGTGAGCACACCAAATCTGAATTGCTTGACTTGGAATGCATG